TCATAAGGGGATTCCCCTCCTCAGGGATATCTCAATTGCTCAACATCCCTCTTGAAACTTAGTACCCAGATCAGAGCGTCTGGGGCTTGGCATGTCCCTGGGGCTCCATAAACTCAGAATGAATTAATGAAGTAGTCCACAAACACCATGGTATACCAGAACTATTCTCCCCCTTTCTCTACACATTATATTTTTATTAATGCAGCCTGGGCTTATATCAGCTCTTCCAAGAGGGATTTCCACATGCCCGTTGGCTTGGGTGTGCAGGGGTCTCCCCTGGGAGTCAAGGCTGCAGGACCTGTTGACTGATACCCACCTGCCTTGGGGGTTCTAACAAAGAACTCAGTAGCATAACAGAAAAGGTGAAATGAAAAAACAAACGCTAGTCATGCAACAAAAGATGCTCGTCAGCGACAGTCTCAAAAGGTCCTGCTTCCCTTAATAAATCTGCACTGTGGGTTATTAAGTGTAGTCATTAGTGCTGACCAACAAATATTTCTGATTTCCTCCCCAGACGCCTGGTAGAAAAGCACTTCCCTGCCCCCTTGGAGTTAGGAGTGGTCGTGTGACTCGCTTTAGCCAATGAGATGTGAGTGAAAGAGCCAGTGCACAATTCACCAAGTTTCATGGAAGCACAGATATGCAGGTCCTTCAGTAAAGGTGACAGAGCTGAACCCCTCAGGGGACCTATGATGGACACATGGGGCAAAAGTGAGAACCTTAATTGTTCTAAGTCACTGAGATTTTATTTGTCGTTGTTATTACCAGAGCAGACCCTAGACTATCCTGACTGAACCTGTATTACTGAAACAGAAACTAGAACATTCAGAGTTTATGTCCTCTAGATCCACCAGATCACAGCTTTCACATTATTTCTCTTCTCCATGCTTCTAATCAGTAAGATGGGAAACAATCTTTTGGTGGGCATGCACCTGGTACACCAAACAGCTCAGGTGAGCCCCACCTGCCAGCAGTGTGGGAGATGGGTTATCTGTTCACATCAGTAATGCTCTAAAGGAAGTCACCATGGAGAATGTTTTTTTTCTTCTCACAGGATAAAGAATCCCAAGATTATCTGACTAAAATCCATCTGAGATTGCCACTGCAGCCCAAAGAATGATGGGTTATGTGGAGGAGACTTAAGGATAAATAGAAGAATCTGGGAGTAATTCAGGAGGGAGATGGGAACAGCAGGTTGTTTAAATCAGTGGTTCTCAAACTCTTACCAGAAGCAGAATCACCTGAAGGCTTGTTAAAACACAGTTTATGGGGGTCCTACCTCCAGAATCTCTGATTCAGTAGATCTGGGGTGGGGCTTGAGAACTGCATCCCTAACAAGTTCCCAGGGGATGCTGGTTCAGAGACCACACGTTGAGAACCACCACTCTAGAAGTGGTGAAACCGAGGCAGAGGCTCTGGCGAGAGGAGTCAATGTGACCGTAACAGACTTTTGGAGAAGGAAAAGAAAAGAGCCAGTTTTCCTTTTTCTACCCAACACATTAATCTGAGAGCTGATATAAAGACACGAACGGTCATCTCAGCCTTTTTTTTCTCACCACATAACACACTACACAACAAAATTAAGCTCCTCTAAGGGAACAAAGTGGAAATCATATTCCTTAGCACAGTTTTTAAAAATGGTTTCTGGGAAGGCAAATCATGCCTCACTCACCCTCCGGAGCTCCCCCAGGATTTACCTGGAGGAAAAGCCAAGTCTATTTGGATAGAGGAAGCAATTTGGATAATTGGCTGCAACCCCCCTCTCCAACCTTATCTCTCCTTCACAAACCTCCAATACATGTCAGTCTTCTGGAAGGCTGCCTATCTCCACTTTATTGAGTTGTTTTTCTGGGGTTTTATCTTGCTCCTTCATCTGGTACATAGTCCTCTGCCTTTTCATTTTATCTATCTTTCTGTGAATGTGGTTCTCATTCCACAGGCTGCAGGACTGTAGTTCTTCTTGCTTCCGCTGTCTGCCCTCTGGTGGATGTATAGGGTAATGCCTTATTTCTGCTGGTGTTGGAGGGTCTCCTGCAGAGGCAGGAGGCAGCTGTGGCTCACCATGGGGACAAGGACACTAGCGGCAGAAGTTCTGGGAAGTGGCATGTCAGTCTTCTTGCCAAGGCTGGTCACACTTCCCTCAGCTGTGAATGACCCTCACACTCGTGCACACTTATCTTCTCTTATCTAAATCTTACCCCTTCCTCCAGTTTAGGGCCAGACACTTCAAGAAAGTCTTCCCTCTCTTTCGTCCCAATCACAGCCAATCAATCACCAAGTCCTGTCAATTTTACCTCCCAAGTATCTCCAGAATCCACTTTGTGCTCTTCGTTTTTCATTCTAACTCAACTAGTATAGATTCCCCATGCTCTCCCCTCTCCGTCTTTGCACAAGTTGTTCACCTTGACTGGACAGGTCTCAATTTAAACAACATCCTTTCCCAGCATGGAGAGGCCTTCCACAATCCCTGAGCCAGGTTAGAACTCTCTTTTATCAACTCCCATTGAACCCTATGTTCCCTCTATCCTGAACATTTATCACATTTGTGATATCTTGTTTAATTATCTTCCCTACTCAACCGTAAGCTCTTCACAGACAGGACCACATTTGTCTTGTTTGCTGCTATAACTGCAGAGTCTGGCATAGCCCCCGACACATGTAGGCACTGACTAAGTATTCAATGAATAAGTGCAGCAATTACCACATCAGTTCATAGGAATCATCCCTTCCTCTCAACGCCTAAAGCACATTCTGTCTGCTTCAAGGAATGTCTGGCCATATAGTTGTACCCATCATCTGAAATGAGCAAGCACCCCTTATGACATTCAGGAAACGGGATCTAGAGGGAAAAAGTGACCCTTGAAAAGAAGGAATATCTTTTCCTTGGAAACTGGATGGAATTGAGATTAGCTGCAGAGATATTTTGGTAGGATAAAGAGGCTACCTTCTCAGAAGTGGTCAAGGGATAAAGTCTTCTGTTAACAATGAGAAAAAGGATGTGTGTGACAGAGGTGTTTAGTGATGGAAAGTGTGCATTTCTCCAGAAGCTCTTATTAAAGTTGGTAACTTCTCAAGCTAAATGTTCTGATGGATTCTACATCCAGACCTTTAATAATGACAGGCGCCCGTGTCTCCTGGATGCTTAAGGAGGGGGGCTGAACTCAATAACCTCCCAAGAGCTTCTAACCTTCAGGATTCTATAAACAAACTCATTCCAACCTGGAATTCGGAGAATCCACATTCTGGCTTTGTCTTTACACAGCAGGTCTTTTTCAATGTAGGAGACAAGACAATCTTTACCTTGCATCCCCTCTTTCTCTAATAGTATTAATGCTTTCAAAGTCAAACACCCCCCAACCCCCCACAAGCCCCACAGTCTGGCTGTCATGTCCTGTGGGCCACGAGCACCAAAATAACTGAGCAAACAGCTTCTGACTAGGGCAAGGGTTAGACCTGACCAAAAAGAGATCAGGCTGGGATGGCATCCTGGCTTTTCTACTTCTAGCCAGGCAACTTTGGGCAAGTGACGTGACTTCTTTGGGTCTTAGTATCTTCGTCTCTAAGATGGTGATGATGGTCTACCTCTCAGGGTTATTGTATTAAATGAGATATGCATATAAAATCCCCAGCACAGAGTAAACATGAAAGGAATGTCAGTATGATCATAATTACAGATTTCTAGTTTTAAAAGTTCTGTTGGATAATGATTCTAAGTTGAAAACACTATTGAGATGAAATAATATGTTCGGAATTTGCTTCAAAATAATCCAGGGGTGAGGGGGAGGGTACAGATAAAATAAAATCAGCCATGTTTTGGAAACTGTTGAAGATGGGTAATGAATATATCGGATTTATTACTGTATCTCTCTACTTTTGTATATGTTTGAAATTTTCCGTGTTAGTTTAAAAGTTTAAGTACTGAGAAAGGGGAATGCTGTAAAAATATAAATACTGATAATTTAAGATTATATTTGAACATATCTAGGTGATTGAACAGAAGAAAAATGATTTGAAGGGGGAAAAAAAAACGCTTGGGAATTCCCTGGCGGTCCAGTGGCTAGGACTCTGCATTTTCACTGCCGAGGGATTGGGTTCAATCCCTGGTCATGGAACTAAGATCCCACAAGCCGTGTATTGCGGCCAAAAAAAAAATTATATATATATATATATATATATACACACATACCACACCCACACACACACACATTATACATATATTATATGTATGTGTGTGTATTTTTTTTTTAAAGAAAAAAAAGAAAAACGCTTAAAGCCAAGGTCTCTATTAGTTTCTCAGACAGAATTGTTTCCTTCAAACAGAACTATCTCAAATGATCAGAAAGGAACACAGACACTTGCACACATTTCTCTGCCTTCATTTTTGGGAGGACACCTCCCCAGAATGTATGCGTGGGCTGTACATGCATTTTTAAGCAGACAAGCCCTGGGTGGTACAAACTACCTCTGAGCACCCCAGAGGCCCTGGTGAAATGGGACTGAGGGGCAAGACGGTGCCCGTGTTAGGGAAAGCAAGCAGAAAGGACTCAAAATGTTCAGGGACAATGGGTGCCACCAGCCCTCCTCTCTTCTAAGCCCTGGCTTTGGGCTCCTATATGAGGCCTCCTCAGGAGGTTGGTTCAGCTGGACCTGAGGCTGATTTAAGGTACTCTCACAACAGGTGAGTGGGTCCTCTCAGAGCACAGCTAGTGTGTTAGGTGACGCTTGAGGGGAAAAGGATCATTGGGGAAAGGGAGCTACGAAGAGGCTCTGACAATAACCATCACAGCACATCCCCATATCATCTCCCCGCTTCCACATCTACCCGCTGAAAGAAGTCTAGAGATTGACAAACAAAATTCTCGAGTTTCACCTTGAATCAAACAATCCACGTCAAGCCCCTACGTCTGAGAGAGAAAACAGTCCAACAAGCTTTGTTTTAAGCAAATGCCTTTAAGCTCCCAAGCTGTGCCTGGAAAAGGAGAATATACAAATGTACTTACTCTTCTTGAAGAATAAATTCGCTATTTTCTGGAGAAAACTGCCCACTCACAGGATGCCTGAAGGCTGTGGTCTGCTGGTTATGGCTAAAGAGAAAGAGAGATAATGAATGAGAAATCCTGTGAATGGAAAGGCTCACAGACACAACAATAGGTCATTAATGTCTGAGGACCCCTGGTCAACACAGACTCCTCCCAGGGTAAGACCACTCCAGAAGCCAGCTGCACTGAAAAACCAAAAACTTCCAGCTCAGGCGCCAAAGCTCACCTAAGACGTGAGGATTTCAATTCTAGGCAAGTCTTGCCTCCAAGACAGCACTGTATCTTAGAGAGACAGTCCATGAAGGGCTAACTCCAAGAAACTGACTCACTCAGCGAAAGTTACTTTAAGATGGCGCGAGCTGAAAACAAGAATGAAGGAAAGCAGATGGCACTTTCAACAGCTTCCAAAACCCATGAACCAGGGAAAGAATCCTAAGAATTAACATCCACCCAGAAAAATCTATCTTCTTAAAATTCTTCTCCCTACTACAAAATGTCTTCACTTCAGTGATGGGATATAAATGTATGGGCATGTCTCTGCAACATGACCTGTACAATTTCAACACTGTGGAGTTTCTATCACCCTTTTGAAGTGAGAAGGGATCAGCTTCCACACCGAGTTGACAGACACGACCAAAGTGTGTAGGTGTTTTGTGTATTCATAAAGGCTGCCTGGTTCTTTGAAAGGAAGGAGGAGTTGGCTCTAGAGGCTGCTGCTCTGATCCACACGAATAAACTAACCTAACCTCCTTTTTCTATTCTTTAAAGAATATGATTTATGTTAAAATGTTTTTCTCAATCGCAAAATCATAGTTGTTTTAGAAATTTTAGAAAATATAGAAAGAAAAAAGGTCACCCATGATCTCACCACCTAGAGATATACCTGGGTTTCTTCTCTTTCCTAGCTTTCTTTTTTTTTTATCATTTTATTTTAAAAAATATGATTTTACTGTATTTAGAAATCTGTATCCTGCTTTTTTTTTTTTTGTATCCTGCTTTTTTCACATCCAATTAACATAGACAATTTCCTATGTCATTAAGATGTCTTCATTTGAAATAGGTGAATAATAAATAGTTTTATCATATAGATGTAAAATTTTTACTGGCCATCTGTGTGCCAGGTACTGCCTCAGGTGCTAGATATACAGAGTGAACAAAAAAGTCCTTACCCCGCAGTGCTTACATTCTAGAAAGATTTACATTCTTCTAATGCTGGACATTTTAGGTGCTTCCCCTACCCCACCCCCACTATTATAGTCAATATATGTTTGCATATATGGGCTTTTTCTGCAATTCAAATTATTTCCTTGGGTTAAAGTCCCAGAAGTAACATTACTAAATCAAAGGGCATGGTCATTTTTTAAGGCTCCTTATACAGACGGTTAAAATGCTTTTTCTTGTCAGAGTCAAAATATCATCTCAGTTCGATAGTGTTAAGATATCAGCCCCATCCCCAAACTGAGCCCTGACTCACCCCAGAGGTTAGTAAGTTTAAATGAGCATAGCATAAAGGTTAAAACAAAAAAACCTCTAAGCCTACAAAGTTTGCCTTACTCTGCCCTGGAGCTGTCAGAGCGTCCTGCGTCTGGTGTCTGGGTAAAGCTGGCACTGAGATCTGAGCAGCCTGAATCCTAATAAGCCCTAAGTGAAATAGGCAGAGCTATCAGGCCAGTCTGCTCCCTGGCCCTGCAACTGCACACCACCCCTAGCACGCCCTCAACCCTCCCAACCACTGCCAGCCTCCGAATTCCCAGCTCCTGGCTCCAGGCAAAGCCCTTGGAATCCTATGACCTCATCTGGCAGGCAGCAGACTGTTCTTCCCAAAAAAAATAGAGTTGAGGAATGAGCGTCCGGATAAGGATGAGAAGCAGGCCCCCATAACACCTATTTCAGAAATCCTTGCATTGTGTTCATGCGTTAGGCTTTATTTGCACCCAGTTTCTTTTAGCCATCTCCATTCACCAGGGAATTTGAAAACATTCTACCTAAGCCTGCCTCATTTCTACCTAGAGGAAAAAAAAAAAAATGCTCTGCTCATAATGGGAATAATAATTCCTAGCCATGATTACCTCTACAAAGCCTTTTCTTATACATCTTAACTATTAACACCGTCGACCCCTGTTTTATGAATGAGGAAATGGCTCAGAGAGGTTAAGAGACTTGCTCAAGATAACTTTGTCAATAAGTGATAAGACTGGGCCATGAATCCAGGTCTTCAATTTCTAAATTCGATGCTCTTTGCATGCTAACCTGCTGTCCCCTTCCCTTAGGAGTCTGTGGGGCTGGCAGCTTCCTGGTCAAGATCAGAAGTCCCTAAAGTCAAGGCATCTGAAAAACAGCAGCATCTACTGCTACTCCCTCTCCCTCCCCTTATGCCCAGGGCCAAATTTCTGAATGACACCACCTGTGTGGCACTCAGTAGCCCCCAAACAGCCTTTGGTCCTATCCCAAGGTCAGCCTGGTGAATCTCTGGTAGATGTGAGCAAAGAGCAAATCTTCTATGTGCTTGGAGCAGCAACCGGCATCCAGCAATGCCTTCATACACACTGTACAACCTGAATAGCAACTCCTGGGCTCCCCACACCCAACTTGTACCAGCTTAAATAAGCCCAGGGTCTTGGGTAAATGAATCCTGAGCTGGAAGGTGTAGGCACTGTGATGATTCTCACATTCTAACATTAGAAGAAAGATAGTTTTTTTAAGTGGACAAAAATATAGCTGTCATTTGATCAGACCTAGAGGCAGCTCCTCAACCTTCCTTCCCTAATATGGACGCTGCCCTTTTTGCTAAAAACAGTTATCAACCACAGCACCATCACCACCATTTCCTGCATTTACATGAAGTTTTAAGTGTGGTCACATTCATTATTGTATTTGACCCTCCCAAGTACCCACTGAGATAGGCAGCACAGATATTTTTATTCCTATATTATGCAAAAATAAATGAAGATGTGGGTCACGGGATGTTATTGGAAGACTAAATTAAAAAAAAAAAAAGGACTCAATACATTGAGAAAAGAGATGAATCAAAGCAATGCCTCCTGGGGGACTTCCCTGGTGGTCCAGTGGCTAAGACTTCGAGCTCCCAATGCAGGGGGCCCAGGTTCGATCTATGGTCAGGGAACATGCCACATGCCACAACTAAGAGTTTGCACGCTGCAACTAAAGATCCCACGTGCCGCAACGAAGATCCCACGTGCAGCAATGAAGACCCGATGCAGCCGAATAAATAATAATTAAATAAAATTTTTAAAAAGTAGTAATGCCTCCTGAATACTGAGGTCTTAAAATTCGATGGTTTCTGATCAAACTTGCCCAGCTTGCTAATGGCAGAGCTTCTGGTTCAGCACTTTTTGGCAAAGGAAGAAGAGTTAGGTCCTTGGACTATTTCATTCAATCTGCCTAAACACCCAGCAGGGCAGGCTGTGTTTCGTTACATCAAGCCACAGGTGAGGAAAGGCCCAGAAAGGGGAAATGACATGCCCACAACAGTCAACTCCTGTGTTCCTGCACCCACCACCTTTCTGATCTCTTTCTACCACTCCAGGCTCACCTTCACCAAATGGAGGTTGCCTATTGAACGCTAGATTCCCCCACCCATTGGGAGATTGCAAAGTCCTCTGACTTTTCCTGCTGTCCTTAACCCCTCAGCCCAAAAGCCCCCAGCCTGCCCCATTTCCTGACTTTTGATTTTCTAAAACCCATGAAGAATCTCATGTCCTATGACCCTATCTTAAGATGAAGTTATCAGGCACAGACAAATCCCCTGAAATACCTGTTCTTAAACCTGAATTGCCACCTTGCTCCCTGACAGTGATGTAGGTGACCCGGCCGGGAGCCAGGTGGCTGGTTTCAATGGAGCACAGAAACTCTCTCTCCTCCATACAACAGCTTCTGTTGCATTTCAGACTACTGAGAAAGTAACTCGGCAAATGAGGTAGAGCAGAACCTAGCCTGTATTTTCAGATCCCACTCTTCCTCCCAGGAGCAGCCCTCCAGGTTGAAGGGCAGCCAGTCTCACCTGTGAGAGGACCAGGGAGCACGGGTGGAAGATGGCAGGGAAGGACAAGCCCCATAAAGGCGGGCCATGGGTAACCATCCATGTAAACAAGCACGTCTTCACAAGCCCTGGGCTGGAAGGACTTGGGTTAGGCCCTAAAGAAGTATGACAGCCAACACAGGAGACTTGGTAAGAGAACAGAGTGAGGACCAGGGAGAACTGGAGACTGATTTGAGCTCACTAGAAGGAAGAACCCACCTACAGCCACAGACAGGGCTAGTCAAAATGTAAATGAGTCCTACAGTTTCTTGCAACATTTTTGCAAGATTAATTCTTCCATTCATACAGATTTTGACTATAACGTGAACAGTGAGTCTGGTTGGTTAAACATAAAGGTTCCAATTTACTTAGCACAGCCATTGTTTCTGTCATGGCAAGAAGTTCTGGAGTTATGTGAATGGTGCTCAAGAGTGGAGGTCGGGGCAGCCTGATAAATCTGCTTTTCTGACAGTGGTGGTATTGGTATGCTGAGAGTGTGACAGATCTGCTCTGCCAGCACGAGCTCTTATCTGGCCCCTGCTATAAAGAGCAGAAGAGACAACTTAAAATGTAAGGAAAGCATCCGGCCTTGAAGCCCACGGGGGGACTCTATCAAGGCTCTTCTCATTGGTATGCTTGGCGGCACCTGCCACTCTGGACCTTCTGGCTCCTCAATACAGCTCTCAGAATGCTGTAAGAGTCACCCTACAGACATTAAGCCACAGTCAGCACTGCCTCCAGACTTGTTATGGCACTTACTATCTTTGTTCTGAATCCCAGTGTCTCCAGAAAGCCAAGGTTCCAGGTAACCTACTAATACTCCTAGTTAGGTCCCCGAATTAATAACCCAAACTCCAAAAACACAAGAAATTGCCTCCCCGCCTTCAGCTCCCATGTAGGCTGCAGAGTAAAGAGATAGCGGCCAACAGTCGAAATGGCATCTCTACATTCCCCCCGACACTTCTTAAGAAACTTTTGTTTTGTTTTACTTAACACTTTCACAAAA